CAAACACGCGGACGCAGGCGAAGCGCATCGGCGGGCTGCTGCAGACGAGCGCGAGTGGCGGCGGCGAGCTGCTGCGGAAGGGGCAACAGGGCGCAGGTGCGGCGCGGCGGCGAGCTGCTGCGGTCGGGGCAGCAGGGCGGCTCACGGGGGCGGAGCGCGCGCGGAGCATGGTGCGGCTGGCGGCGCGCGGTGCATGGCGGGCGGGTGGCTTGGCGCGGCTAGCTACGCAGGCTGGCGCGCGGGCGGACGCGCGGCTGGCTAGCTAGCTAGCTTGTGCGGGCGCGCGGGCTGCTTCTGCTAGCTAGCTAGCTTAGCTAGCACGACGGCAGGCTAGCTAAGCTAGCTAGCTAGCACGCAGGCGAGCGAGGCGAGCGGGCGGGACGGCGTGCAGGCGCGGGCGAGCTCGATTGTGGCGACTGCACCGGCGAGGCGAGAGCGCGAGCTCGTGGGCAGGCGATGCGCACGCATGGGCGCACGGTCGAGGCGGACATTTTGGGGTCGGTCGGCGCGTTGGGCGCCTTCAACTTCACCTGAACATGCATGTCCGTTTTCGTCCCCATTGCCACCCCAAACAAACGAAATCCGGACAAAACGGACGTCCGTTTGGGGTCATACGGTGGAGTTGGCCTAACTTCTTCCCTCAGCCCACCTCACTAGCCCTCCGAGGAGAGGCTCTACATTCCCTTTTAATATGCCAGCTGCTTCCATGCGCGTCCCTTAGTGTCAATTTTGTTCGCAAGCGCCCCGATGAGAGAGGGGCGCCATCGAAGACAATCGCGTTTCGGTGCTTCCATATCTCTCACAACATGAGTAGTAGGATTGCACGCGTGTCCTTCGCCGCTTGGCCATGAGTAGCTATGACGGCACACCAGTCCCGCAGCCTCAAGTCATGGCTCGACGTCCACTGTGGCCTATCAAGCACTCTGCATATGACAGACCATACTCCCTTCGTTCGGAATTACTTGTCACAAAAATGAATGTATCTAGACATATTTTAATTCTAGATACATTCATTTTCGAGACAAGTAATTCCGAACGGATGGAGTACTTCTCTTACGGAGACGCGACCCAGTAGAAGATGATCAATGGTCTTCTCGTGCTGATCGCAGAAGGGGCATGCGTCGTGGTGATCTAATCCGCGCCTAGCAAGTATGTCCGAGGTCCAACACTTATTATGCATCGCAAGCCAAAGAAAGAACCTACAACGTAGTGGGGCCTTGGATTTTCATGTAAATTCAGCTGTCGGTTCCACCTCCGGTCCTATGAATTTGGCCTCGTATGTTGATTTCATGGAGTAGTCCCCGTTGGCCTCCCAGTTCCACGTGATGTGATCCGTCTCCTCCGGCACCAGTATCGTTCTGGTCACCTGGTCCCAAAGGAGCACGTACTCATTTAGCTGTTGGGCAGTAAGGTCGGGTCCAATGTGCAATGCCCATTCTCCCGTTGAAACCACGTGGTATACCATCCGAGATGTCCGCACGCGAGGTGCAACAATGGCGTATATGGACGGGGCCACATCTCGGACCGTAAATCCTGCAAGCCATCGGTCTTCCCAAAAGCAGGTGTTCATGCCATTGCCAAGCATTGTTTTTTGCCGCGGCCCTGAAGAGCTGCCTTGATTCTGCTGGGACCTCAATTTGGAATTCAGCCCATGGTCGAGATTGATCTGTACGTTGGAGCCATAGCCAACGGGCTTGAATGGCGACATTCAGCCACCGGAGCTTGGGAAGACCCAGGCCTCCTGCCCACTTGGGCATGCACACGGCCTCCCAGGCCACTCTGCATTGTCCACCGTTTGCGCTGTCACGTGCACACCACAGAAAGCTGTTGGGGAACGCAGTATTTCAAAAAAATTACCTACGATCACGCAAGATCTATCTAGGGTATGCATAGCAACAAGCGGGAAGAGTGTGTCCACGTACCCTCGTAGACCGAAAGCGGAAGCGTTTAATAACGTAGTTGATGTAGTCGAACGTCTTCGCGATCCAACTGATCCAAGCACCGAACGTACGACACCTCCGTGTTCAGCACACGTTCAGCTCGTTGACGTCCCTCGTGCTCTTGATCTAGTTGAGGACGAGGGAGAGTTCTGTCAGCACGACGGCGTGGCGACGATGATGATAAAGTTACCGGTGCAGGGCTTCGCCTAAGCACTACGACGATATGACCAAGGTGTGTAACTGTGAAGGGGGGCACCGCACACGGCTAAGAGAAGACTTGGTGTGCCTTTGGGGTGCCCCCTCCCATGTATATAAAGGGGGGAAGGAGAGAAGGTCGGCCCAAGGGGGGCGCGCCAAGGGGGGAGTCCTACTTGGACTTCCGGTCCAAGTAGGATCCGGCCCCCTCCTTTCCTTTCTGGAGAAGGGGGGAAGGGGAAAGAGG